TCTCTCTCTCTCTCTCTCTCTCACACACACACACACACACACACACACACACACACAAATACTCGCCTCCCTGAACGTTGTCTTTTTGATGCCGGATGCGGGTTCTTGGATGGACGGCGTCCACTTAAAGGGGGGAAGCAAACTTGACTCCCGTTTTGGACAGATTGCAGATGCGGGAAATAAATAAGGTCACAGGAGAGGCCCTGCTTTGTCCTGGTGGAAGGAGGCTGCACCATTTGTGGGAAATGCCCCCCCCCCCCCCCTTTGCATGCTTGAGGCTATGCAGAGAAGGGGGCTTCTCTGTGACTTGATGCTATCAGTAATTCGGGGGGCTCTTGCAGAAATAATAGACATTACTGATACTACCATTATCCCTGCTTCCTCCTGTGTGACCCACCCCCACACACACACACACTTCTGTACTGCTGCTATACTTCTCATGTTATTACTGCTGGGGTAGCTACACTTCTGCGTGGCTTCAAATGTCACATCATACTTAATGTAACAGACCAGTGGGCTCTAAGTCAACTCTGCGGTTTTTAACTTATTATTATTATTATTATTATTATTATTATTATTTTATGGACAGTCATGCTTTTCATATCTGGAATTAAAGTTAATGTCTGTGATAAAAGAGAGCATGATGAATGACGGAACTTGCCGGAAGCCAGACATGTTGGCGTGCTGCTGCATTACACTCTCTCTTGCTGTATCCTATAGCCTGCTGTCATAGCAACAAAGAAAGACCCCATGTCTCCCCCTTCCCTTGTCTCAACTGTTTTGTTATACATAAACGTGTGATAGTAAGTGCTCATGTAGGCACCCAAAACTGTGAAGGTTCTTCACTACTTTTCGGTGGGCTTGGCCGCTCCATCTTTTTTTTTCGTAGTGCGTATAAATTTTGGATCCGAATGTGTGCGTGGCTCAGACGGCTGGGGGAGACGAGGGGAGACTAACTGACAGGGTTTGTCTCTTTCTGTGCTGACAGCGAGGTTTTCCGGAGCTGTCTCCGTTAATGGGTGTTAAACAGAGTTTAATTTCACAGTCACGAGTGGAATGCGAAGGACAATTCGGGATATTTAGGAATCCCTAGGGGATCGCCGTAGAAGATGAATTTCAGCAATGAGCTTTAAGATGCCTTGAGGGTTACTGCATTTATAAAAAGAATAATTCTAAGCATTTTGTCAAGCTGGAAATGGAGTGAAAATTAGACTTCAGTGGGTACACATTTACGTAGCAGTTGAAGGTTTTAGTGGCATGTTTGACACTAATGTCTTGATTTGCATTATGGCGCTACTGAGGATTTAAATAGCAGAGAGCAGGCCGGTGCCCGTTCGGCAGCTGAAGTTGGGCAGTGTTCAGTGCCAGCTGGGTGTCTCGAGCGCTTCGCTCTGCTAGGTGAAGGGGCTTCTTTATTCTGTCGGTAAATAAGTCCCAGCTGTGTTAAATGGAAAAATACTGTGGCCTCTAGTTTGTCCCTCGCTAGTAGGCTAAAGAAATCTTCCGGGAATATCTACCTTTTCCCCCGCCCCCCCGCTCCCTGCCCCCTGCGTTGGGTCCCCACTAGACGCATTGTTTGGCGATACAGACCCAACAGCACATGAAGGCGGGGCGGAACGAAGAGCCCGGAACCTTCTAACCCTGTGGATAATGTCATTTGCTTATGCCCCCATTTCTACACTAGATGGTTGTTGATATCGGCCACACGTATCAGGTTAGAGACAGGAGGGCCGCACGGGTGTAGTG